GTACGTCCGTACACTTGATGCAATTTAAGTAGTGCCTTCGTAGGTAAGTAGTCACATAGTACGTTTGTAGTGTAGAGGTAGGTAGGTCCGTACCTACTTACTTACATATCATTCATTCCCCATCGGAAAATCGCCTAGGGTACGGAATATTATGCAGCACTACGTCCGTAATTTCTTTTTTCTTCTAATTCTCGAACGGCTTAGACAGAACAGCCATCTCACGCCTGCCTGCGTAGGAATCTATTTGAAGTGCATCTCGCCGCAGATTAGCTCCAATAACTTCATATGTCCGTCCGTCCTTTATCACCCTACAGGCATGCACACCATACGCATTAGTCTAAGTGAGTGACTCGCTGGAGTCTGCGTGTCTGCGTGAGTTGGTAAACACACTAGATAACCATGGGGACTGACTGATATACTGTCCACCGCTTTTCACACACGGCTATGGCTGTTTTTAACGTGTATAGGGGTACCAACATCTGCGTCTCTCTCTCTCGGTCTTTCAAGGTAGTCGGGTACAAGGGATCATGAACCCGGGCAACCTGGGTGGCTCTGTATCTAACTAGTAACTAAATTAAGAGACTTCAAAGTAAGTGCACTTTTCATATTTGATAAAAGAGGATGCGGTCAGATGGGGATGAGAGCTAATTCTGGTGTTTACTTTTTGATATCCTCGGTAGCACTGATACAGGAGCCAAAACTACAGGATAGTACGACGGATGCACTCGGCGTTTGAACGCAGGGAGCCGGCCCTTCGCGGCTTCGAGGCTTGTGTTTGTCTTCGTTTGCATGCTCAGGCTCTGCCGCTAATACACTATATAATCTCTATCTTTTAATACCTTCTCTGTCCGACTATCACTGCCAAGTCAATCTTGATATACAATCATTAGGTCTTCCCAACGAGTCAGTTTACCTCTCTACAGACATGCCCTGTCAATTAGGAATTACGTCTATGTCCCTCGGGCGCGTCTCGGCAGACCATACGCTCAAGAAAAGGCTCGACGCGGCCCGCCAATATGGCTACAAGGGTCTTGAGCTCTTCTACGACGACCTGGTCGGTGTCGCTAAGCAATATCTAGGGGGCGATTCGCCCAAGAACCTGCTGGCGGCCGCCAACATCATCCGGGGACTCTGTCAAGAAAGGGGCATTGTCATCCTCTGCTTGCAGCCCTTCGCGCACTATGAGGGTCTACTCGATCGCCAAGAACATCTGAACCAGATAGAGAAATTGCGCTTTTGGTTTCAACTGACGTGCTCTCTGGGAACAAACATGATACAGATCCCGTCAAGTTTCGGACCTGCGGCCGAGTTGTCCGAGGACGTGGATCTGGCCGTTGCTGACCTCCAGGAGGCTGCGGACTTAGGTTTACAACAAAATCCTCCCGTCCGCTTTGTGTACGAGGCGCTCTGCTGGGGCACGAGGTATAATACATGGGAGCAGAGCTGGGAAATCGTGAAGGCAGTCAACCGGCCCAATTTTGGCCTCTGTCTCGATACATTTAACATCGCGGGCCGCATCTATGCCGATCCGACCTCATTTTGCGGCCGAGCGCCAAATTGTGACGAGGCCGTGCGCGAGTGCATCGAGCGGCTTGTCACCACTGTGGACGTCCGTAAGGTGTTCTACGTCCAGGTAGTCGATGCGGAGCGGCTCACTGCGCCCCTAATTGAGGGTCACGAGTTCTACAATGCCGAGCAACCAGCTCGTATGAGTTGGTCTCGGAATTGCCGGCTATTCTACGGTGAGGAGGACCGCGGGGCATATCTACCCGTTACCGAGATATCCAGGGCGATTTTTCAGGGTTTGGGGTTTGAGGGCTGGGTGAGCATGGAGCTTTTCAACAGACGGATGGGGGATACAGACACGGTGGTGCCCACAGAGCTGGCGAGTCGCGGTGCAGTCGCGTGGGCGAAGTTGATCAGGGACATGGAGTTGAGGACAGAGGAGCCAGCGGTTGAAATGGGGAGGATATCGGCATCGCTTTGATTCCACTTAGAGAAAAAATTTTTTTCTTGATTCAATCGTTCGAAACTGGCGATATCTGGCGTTCCTAACTTTCTACCTCTATATTAGAAAGAGGCAGGGCGCCAAAACTCAGCCTTTCCATACGTCCGTATTCTCATGATGATCCGGGGGCCGCTTATAACTTCCACTTTGACTCACCAAACTTGGACGGTTATTTGACACAAATCTATATTTTTTCCGGCGCTCGGAATTCAAAATACGGATGGCTTCTTGTGGCAATTTGGCACGGCAGCGCAACCGAGATCTGTGAGACCCAAGATGCTGTGGTACTGAGTGCATTCTGTGAGAGCCGAGAAGGCCGTCCGTGACATTGGATGAATACCTATCAGTCCACGACCGTGCTAATTGGGATTGCCTGGAGAAATCAACAACGCTAAATGACAAAAAAACTCGACGCTCCGAGCTAAATGAGCTATGGTGGAGATACAATAAGATAAGACAGAATTTCTTTTTCGCGCACTCGATTATATTACCTACCTCTATACCGAAATACATGAAGACATTTTCGGACATTACCTAAGGTACCTTACCTACCTCTTCAAATTACCTACCTAGGTAGGTACCTAAAGTACCTACCGACCTAGCTACCTAGGTAGGTACACTAAAAAGTCCTACTTAGGTGCTCAGGTACCTACCTAGGTAGGTACTACCAGGTAGGTAGGTACCTAGGTAGCGTTAGACGTTAATACCTTAAGTACCTAAGGTATAGGTGCTAGCTACTACTACCTAGGTACTACCAGGTAGTTAATCTACGCATTCTGATTGGTAAATACCTAGGTAGGTAGGGCGGATCGACCGCTAACGAGTTTTTCACGCTATGAATCTGCTGAATTACGCAGTAAGTACGGTACGTACGTCCATATTTACAGACTGTTCGAACTTCGTGAAGGTGCGTAGGAGGTAATACCACCTGCCTTTCTCATCCAAGATAAATCGATACAGCTTTCGAAACACCAACATCGCCGGTGAATAAGCATGCTGTGGTAGTCGTCGTCGCTATTCTCGGGGACAATTTTATATTGTTATTTTCAGTCCTCCAAAACTTCCGCCTCAATTGACAGTTTTCGTTATGTTCGAGAACCTCTGCACGCTCCCTCTGAGCTCGGAGCTCTTTACGCAAGCGCTTCATCCCACCGAACCTCTCTTGGGGGTCGGACTCGCCACCGGCCATGTGCAGTGCTTTCGTCTCCCTATAGAAGATAATTCATCTGACGATATCGCCGATGTCAGCATTCTCTCCGACGGGAAGCGCACTATTGACACTGTCTGGCGAACTCGTAGACACAAGGGTAGCTGTCGTTCCCTCGTCTTCAATCACGATGGAACCTGTAAGCTATATTTCTTTTCAATCAGTTTGGCATATCCCTTTTCTTGGGGCTGGGACATAAACGAATTGAAGCTAATGGTTCTCCCGTTTGTTACAGCTCTTTATTCAGCCGGTACCGACTCTTTAATCAAACATTTCTCTCCCGCTACCGGCCAAGTGATCTCCAAGATCGCTGTTCCTACCTCGAAATCCGTACCCGACTCTCCCACTCTACTCTCAGCCTTGTCTTCACAGACTCTCTTGCTTGCATGCGACTCTGGCGTTCTCCACCTCATGGATTTGCGAGACAGTGCTCTCGCTGCTTCGAAGCCGCAGCAGAGCCACTTTCCCCACGACGATTTCGTCTCAAGTCTCACGTCTCTCCCGCCCTCAGCAGAAAGCACCAGCGGTTTCAGCAAACAGTGGATCTCTACCGGTGGCACTACGTTGGCCGTCACGGACCTGCGACGTGGTGTACTTGTGCGCAGCGAGAACCAAGAGGACGAATTATTAAGCTCCGTCTTTGTCCCAGGCATGGGCCCCAAGAATAACCGGGATAATGGTGTCGTAGTTGTCGGGACGGGATCGGGTGTGTTGACACTGTGGGATAAGGGCACCTGGGACGATCAATTTGACCGAGTCATCGTGGACTCAGCCAGAGGGGGTGGCGAAAGTTTGGACTGTATTGTGCAAACCCCAGAGGGTGTCGGCCGAAATAAGAAGGTTGTGATTGGCCTGGGTGACGGAAGCTTGCGTATTGTGGACCTGACGAGGCGCGAGCTACTCGGGTCTTTGCGACATGATGATCTTGAGGGTGTTACCGGCCTCGGATTCGACTGTCAGGGTCGCATGATAAGTGGTGGTGGCCACACCATCAAGATCTGGGAGGAATCATCAGCGCTCGGATCGGACAATGATGGTGACGATGACGATGACGATGATGATGACAGCGACGACGATGACGGCTACGATTTGGACTCTTCCAAGGATGCGACGCTCAACCCCACAAATGGTAAACATGGACCAAATCAAGGCTTGGAATCAGATGATACGGACAATGATGACGAAGGGCAGAGAGGCAAAAAAAGGAGGAAGGGTAAGGGCGGCAAGGTCGATCTTGGGCCGCACGGGGCTCACGGAGTTCTCAAATTCAAAGGCTTGGACTAGATCAGAGGGGTGGCCATATTCTTCTCTCTTCATGATACCCGACTCGCGACAATATGATCTCAACCGTGAAGCACGTTAAATTAGGTAATCATACACCTCGCCAGGACAAATACATGATGACCCTCACCGGGCTTGAGAGGATTATTTATTTCTAGAAAAACACTGCAGTTGTATTGGCCCAGGTAGGCGTATGCTGATCGGATACCAGGTTCTACAAGCGAGGAAACTTGGTTCCAAATTCATGGAGTCACTCGCCGTTGCGGTCAATCAAACGCCGGTCCTGCAGCCCTTCGATTATCCGGATTCAGGAGCCATCCCCCATTGTGCAAAAGCCGGTGAACTCTTCTCCACGCAAAAGATCAGTACTGAGCAGAGATCGAGGATGTATAATTAAGTATTTGATTATGTCTCGTCATGACGGGATCTCTGCTGCGTGCAACCGAGTGGTAGACTCGAAGGAACTACACTACAGAGAACGAAACTAAGGACCAGCCAACCCAGTCCTCCGTGGCGCAATTGGCTAGCGCGTTCGACTGTTATGAATTCTTATTAAAGGACGAAGGTGATCGAGAGGTTGACAGTTCAAGCCTGTCCGGGGGAGGTTCGCTTAAGCAAACTTTTTTACACTGTGCCCTTGTGCTCTTGTTTTCAAGGGTTTTTAGTGTACTTAGTAGGCTGAATAGAACTACCGTTCCGGGCCTCATTAAGACATTACTTGCCGTATCGCATTACCTTAGCCGACATCTTCAGTTCATATTTGAACTTCAATTGACTCTTATCACCACTGCACTTCAGTTATTTATGACCACTGTCACAACTCGGTTCAGGTTCTAGCAGAACTGGGTTGAGTGAAAAAGAGGCGTCGACATCATTATTTGAGTCGGGAAATAGTGAACTAAGAGGCATTGAAGCTTGAGATATGGAATTCTGCGAAAGAAATCGCTCCATGGTAAGCGGCAACTCGGTTTCAGTGATGGAACAGGTGTGTGTTCTTGTCATGTCGAGTTGAAAGAGAAATCGTGGGGTAAAAAGAGTGTATATGGATAGGAATTTAATGACAAGTCACATTGTTTGTGCTGATGACATGATAATCGATTGGCCGGCGGATAGCCGATGGTCAGCTAAAAGAAGTCCCAGCGGACCGGTGGTACAAACAATCTCATCCGGCCGCCTGCTGCTGAAGATAATACTCGTCTGACCGCTGCTGCTGCTGCTCTGGCCCAGCAGCAGCAGCCGGTCCGTCGGTTTGCTGACCGGTGGTAAACCTTGATTCAAATTGCTTACTCTATGTAGGGCTTCCGTATTCTCGCGCCTATGCTGGCCCTCAGTATTGGAAAGCTCTTCTACTTGCCTGTCATCCGGACGTTACCTACGGGGAGCACCGTCATTGCATCATCGCGCGAGATTCTTCAGGCACGAAGTCTGATGACTGTACCGCATATTCTTGGTAGATATGATTTCCCTTCCACAGGACGAGTGGGTAGAGGTACTCCGACCACTACACTTTGTGGCGTGTGATGGGGGCCTGTTGAAGCTGTACTTAGGGGAAGCGTCAGCTCAGACAGGGGTCAAGATACGATACTTGCACGTCAGTAATCGTTATTCTACATTCCTAATTTGCCCTCGTCGAGGATTTTGTGACCGTGGACGCTGGATCGCGGTCCTTGTATCATGTCTCCAGATCTAAACTTCCACTCTAATCAATGGCGTTACTGCGTCTTTTACTGACTGCAAAATGTCCAGCGGACTTCGGATCAAGAGACGTTGGTGCGTTGGCACCAATACTTGTTCCTGGCCCAGACTACGACTGGTATTTCTGGAGGTTCAGAGAAGGCCACCATGTCTGAGTCGAACCGATCCAGGAAGACGGCGAGCAAAGCGCAGATGGTACAGAACGGCGGTATTATCAGCTGGTCGCGCGGCCATGGGTGTTGACAGAGGACTTCGTTCTCCAAGACGGGCTTCTATGAAGAACCAAAGGTGGTGAGGAGAGGATATTCCTCCGGACTGTCAGTCTGCAAGACGACGTGATCGTGCTCGCAACGGGGAAAAGGCACTCCCGTGGATCCTGGAGAAATTTCTGGAGGAAAGTCATCTTGTCAACACAGCTGTCGCGTTCGGCGAGAGCCAATTCGAGCTGGGTGTCATCGTGGATCCGTCTACATACCCGGCGGACGTCGAGGAGTTCAAGAAAAGTATACGGCCGGTCAATCTAGAGGCCGGAAGGCAGATGGACTCCCATGCTAAGCATTGAAGGACGCAAAGGTACCATTGGGTTATCAAAACAAGACCTCCGTGGTGCAGGCCCAACCATTCGACCACCACCTTGATTTGTCTGATGATGTGTATGACAAGTGTATCCCTCCTTGCCGAGCAACATCACTTACATTGTTTAGGCTGCATGACCGATGGACTTTAAACGCTCGCTCGCTTCTTTCGGGGGCCAGTTCGCATTTCTCTGTAACTTGCTGTAATTAGCGCGTGATGCCCACACTCAATGTCCGTGGTTGATGTCAAGGCTAGTCTTCATATCCCCCATCTCGGTTGTAGGACAGTATCCTCAATGCCACGATGGTGCTCGCTTCGTGCCTGAAGAAATCATGAAGGGTAAGGAGAGGCACAAACAGCTTTGGCTACGAGTACGCCAAGCTGGTGTGCAAAAATATCTTGACACAGGTGGCTTCAATTATGAAAGACGGAGGTATGCTCGATACGGTTTGGCCAGATAGCTGGCGCCAGCACAAATGGCTTCTGGAATGCGAAGGAGCATATACTAGCTCTAGTAGGCATAGCTTATATGATGGGAAGATGGCTGAAACTTTCAGGAGTAAGATACCAGAAACGCCTCAACGTTTTCGTGAAAAAATATCCTTTTACTGACAATATCATAGACTCTATTATGGCTTCCTGTTGATACATGTGTCGTTTCCTCCGATACGCTCTGGTCAGCACTCTCCAGTCACCAGGGGCACAAGATGGGCACACGAGGACTGAGAATGACTCTGACTCTGATGATGATCTAGTTAGAACACATCTCTGACATACATGGAGGGGAGTGGTAGCTATAGAGGTCTCCTGACGTGGGTGCCACTTTCCAGGGTGAGCTCGGTTCGTCCTCGTCATTTTCTTCTCTCTCTTCTCTCCTTCTCCTTCTGCTTCTGGCTGGTGATGCTACAATGTGCAGCCGTCGTCTCCGAAATCATGCAGTTACCTAACACCTTGTATCTCGTCTACCATGTCAAGAATACCGTGCGACAGGATTGGCCGACCATGCTGTCGAACGTAATGTCAGAAATAGGCTCAGACAAGCCTCTAGTGAAGTTTGAAGACTGGTGCGCACAGACCGCTTCCGAGACGGCAGCGGGCGAGGTTGAGCTGTTGATGGAGTTCTTCGGCGAGAATTTTCAGCATAAGGCGTGCGGCGGCATCATAATACTAGAAACAACTAACACGCGGCGGGCTTCAACTACATTGAGACGAGCTAGTCCGATGAGTGATGAAGTCGTCTGCAGCTATGTACGTGGGTGGAAGAGAGCTGGCCTCCTGCCTGAGGCATAGGACTCTCTTTACAATAGTAATCGAATATGTACTCCAATGTAATGATTCATCTTGGTAGATCACGATTGTACGTACTGTAACGGTCTATAACACTATATATATTAGACCCAACAAAGAACCAGATTAGGCCTGTCGAGACAATCCCGCATTGACTATTTTATGGCAACTGCAGCAGGCAACCGTGAATGTGAAAAGTGATTAGACAATAACAATTTGTGGTTCTAGAGATGCAGCGCTCTCGGCATCAAATTTAATGTTTTATTTCGCCTGTCGGTCTCTACGCAACGGGAGGTTGACTGCAAATTCAGACTGATGTAGCTGTATTTCCCACTTGATTCTTTACTCAACCGCTTTCAGCCAGATGAACGGGTTTGCCGCAGCATCAATAGATATTATATTTACAAATTCCAATACGTTCTAGGTATGGCGGATATATACCGCATAGTATCAGTTAATATACATTCAAAGCCTTCCACACGGTGATCGGCCACTTTCCCCCCAAGTCATTAAGGTAAGCTCAAAAACACCTCCCTCATCTTAGCGTAATTGGGGGTGCCCAAACCACTGGCCGGGTCCCAACCCTCAACGGCCGCGAATCCCTCAGAGCCGCAACCCTTCACCTGTCCTTCGGTGACATCATCAAACATCTCAGGGTGTTCGTACATAATGGCGTTCAGGAAACCAATGGGTCCCTTTCCGGCCTTGATACGCTCACCGTTGATGAGGGCGATCATGGAGGCAAATAGAGGGGCTGCTGCCGAGGTGCCGGTGAAAGGAAAGAAGCCGCCATCGATACCGGTGATGAAGTTCGTTGAGGGGGCGATGACGTCGGGGAATCCACGAGCTATCTGGCTGTTGTTGTAGACGGATGAGTTGTAGCCGGGGTCGTGCAACGCGTAGTACGATGCGATGGCTTCCTTCTGGTAGTCAGGCATCGCGAACTGGTTGCTGAAGCCGCCTCCGGGGACGAAGTCCCTCGCTACGGTTTGACGGTCGGTGACGCTTCCACCGGCAGGGAGCTGGGAACCACCCACGGTTGTGACCCAGGGGCATGTGGCTGGAAACACTAGATCGGTCGCAAACACGTCAGTATTTAGTATCGTCCCTCATGCTGAGAAAAAGGAAAATAAACGGCCAAAAAAAAGCGATGATTTGAAGGACTAGTCTCGATAAGGCGGGTCGAACTTACGAGGACTGAATCTACCGACACCGAAATGGGGAACATTGTTCTCTCCTAAGCATGTACCTGAGTTTCCGGTCGTTCCGCTGTCTCCGGAAGAATAAAGCGTCGAAACGCCCATCAGTCCCAGTTTCATGTATTCATGGCACTCCCGGGTGTTGTAGTTCACCGGTCTGTTAGCTTCATCTAGGCCGTACGAGACGGAGATGACATTTGTAGCATTATACACGCCGCACATGGGCTTGCCGTTGTAGAAGCCGGATCCCGTCCCTGAGTGAGGATAGATAGCGTCCCAGACGGGGTCGTCTCCGCCCTCATAGGTGCAGTAGGATCCGTCAATGGCGTCCAGGAAGGCGTTGTCAGTAGCGGGATTGGAGGCTTTGTTGTCGCCTGTCTGCAAAAGCGTAACGTTCATGGGGTAGACAAGACTCATGGCGTAGCAGAGATCGAGGTTGGACTCGCCTCGAGTTCCCGAACCAGTGCCGTTCGAGAGAAAACCGCCGTCGATGCGGTCGACAATGGGGGCCGTGCCGTTTGGTACGTTGCCCGTGTAAACGCTGAAGAACCCGTTTAAGTCTTCCTGGTTATAGCTCTGCGGTGCGAATTCAACGATACCAAAGCTGTTTCCCGGTACTACCTCGCCCTCTTCCGGCAGGCCAAACCTAAAATTAGAGAGGTTAGTCATTATGACTGCTCCGACGTTTGCTCAGCTCGCACGGATAACATACATGGCTCGAAGGCATGCCGGGGTGGTCTGTTCGCTGCAGTTATCCGTCCCTTGGGGGTCAGAAACGACTGTGGCTTGCTTAACCTGGGGGGCCAGAGTGTTTCTCTTAGAGACCCGCTTAGAGTTGCGGGAGCCG